GCTGACCGACCCATGTGCAATGCATTCTGGGAACATATCTTGTTTTTGGCCTTATGGGGCCTGTGGTTGATAGACAGATTTGAGGTCACTGTGAAGACGTTCTGCTGCATGAGGACACTCTGCCACATGTTGCATCAGGTTCATATGGTTTTATGTCACTTTTATGATTGTGTGGGCAGGTGGCGCTTCTGTGTCTTCTGCAACAAAATGGCAGGCTTCAATTTACAGTAATCCCTGTTCACACAAATTCATTGGCAAGGCAAGGCAGGTTTATTTGTATAGCACAATTCATACACAAGGCAACTCAAAGTTCTGAACAAGACAAGATAGCATTAAAATCATAAATAATCACAGTACATTAAAAATAAAGAAAAAATATGAAATCGCTCAGTTGTATGCACAGCTAAACAGAATTGTCTTTCATCTGGTTTTAAATATTGTCAGAGAGGAGGCCTGTCTCACATTTTCAGGAAGATTGTTCCAGATTTTAGCAGGATGAATCTGAAATGCAGCCTCCCCATTTTTAGTTCTGACTCTGGGCACTAACAGGAGTCCATTCCCTGTGCTCCTCAGAGTCCGGGCCGGGTTCATATGGCACTAAAATGTCACCTATGTACCTTGGTGCAAGGCCATGGAGACACCTGAGCCACAGGAAGCCAGTACAGAGACCTGGGGACTGGACTAATGTTATCATACTTCCTAGTTCTAGTCAGGACTCAGGCTGCTGCGTTTTGAATGTACTGCAGCTGTTTTACAGCCTGTTTGGAGAGACCTGTAAGCAGGCCATTGCAGTAGTCTAACCTACTGGAGTCAAATGCATGGATAAGAGTCTCCAAGTCTGCTTTAGACACTAAGTTTTTGGTCCTGGCAATGTTTTGTAGGTGGTAAAAAGATGCTGATGCTACTGATTTGTTGTGGCTATTAAAGCTGCGTTACCTGACTTTATTTTTGTATTCATTACAAAAATTCACAGCGAAACAGCCATTCAAAAGAAAGTCTCGTTCCTCCGCATTTCCCGGTTCAATCATTCTATGGTCATGCCATCCACGTTCAAATGTCCATATTGTGAGACGCGAGCTCCGTATTTACAATTAGTATGTGAGCGCAAGCTAAGGGAGAGGGGGGCAGTGGTGGGCGAAAGCTCCATGCGGGAAGGGCGTGCAGAGAGAGCGAGCTCGGCGTTCTCATTCAAAAATGTCTCAAAGTCAGTTAGTGTTGCTTTAAAATTTAAGTCTGAGTCCAGTATTACCCCTAGATTTCTGACCTTGTTTGAGGGTTTTAGGGAGAGAGACTGTAGATGACAGATGACGCTCTCTCTTTGTTTCTGGGGACCAAAGACAATAATTTCAGTTTTGTCAGGGTTTAGCTGAAGGAAGTTGTTTTGCATCCACTCACTGATCTGTTGGATACAGTGAAGGAGTGAGTCAACTGGTCCATGTTCTCCTGCAGTCAGTGAGACATAGATCTGAGTGTCGTCTGCATAGTTGTGATAGGACACTTTGTTTCTGCGTATTAACTGACCTAACGGCAGCATGTAGAGATTGAACAAAAGAGGTCCCAGGATCGACCCCTGTGGGAATCCACAGGTCAGGGCTATATGATCTGAGACACAGTTTCCAATCTCCACAAAGTATTTCCTGTCCTCAAGGTAAGACTTATACGAACTCAGGGCGGTGCCAGCGACGCCAACCCAGCCCTCTAGTCTCTGTAAGAGGATCTCATGGTCGACGGCGTCAAAGGCAGCACTTAGATTAAGATTGAGACTTTCCCTGCGTCAATATCCAGCCGGATATCATTTGTTTCCTTGACGAGAGCAGTCTCAGTGCTGTGGAGGGGTCTAAAGCCGGACTGAAACAAATCAAATGAGTTGTTGATCACAAGCAATCTAGTGAGCTGTTGGTAGACAACTTTTTCAAGGACTTTCCCCATAAATTGCAGATTTGAGATGGGACGATAGTTGTTAAGTACCGTGGCATCCAGACTGCTCTTTTTTAGCAGGGGCCTGACGGCTGCAGTTTTCAGGGTCTTTGGGAATATTCCAGAATGAAGGGACATGTTTACTATCTGTGTGAGTGAAAGTAACAGACTGCTCAGTACATACTTTAGAAATCTAGTGGGTAGTACATCCATGCTGCATGTGGAGGAGCTCAAACTGGGGATTATCTCTTGGACAGTTTTATCATCTCAGTGAGTCAGCTCAGAGAGCCTTTCTGGCTGTCAGGAAGTTATCTGTGGATTGGAGACAATGGCGTATTTGATGCCTTGAACCTTGTCATTGAAAAAATTTGCAAACTCATTACATTTACGTTTGGAAGTAAGCTCTAATGCAGGGGTCCCCAAATGGTGGACCACGGTCCAGGTCCCTTTTCTCTAGACCTCCGTGATTATTTTGTTCAAAAGTACATTATTACAAGTATGTCACATTTTTACCGAAAGCAATTTGAAAACAGGCAGGCGCGAGGGCGGCTATGTGCGCAGCGGGGTCCTTTGGAGAAAACTTTACGGACCTGTACGGCTATAACTATAGCAGTGTTTATGACGAAGAAAGAGACGGGAGTGAGCGCCGTGTACCGAGAGAAGGACACTCGCGTCTTCTGTGTGTGAGCAGAGGAGGAGGAGCAGACAGAGGTGTGTGAGCAGAGGAGGAGGAGCAGACAGAGGTGTGTGTGCTGTTATTGCCGATGTTTTGTCCAAAAGTACACATCAAAATGTATATGTACACATATTATAAAAGCATTAGTAAACAGCGCATGCCAAGCTTCAGCGCCCTCTGCGAGTGCAGTGGATTTTGGGCATAAAAGTCTTGTTGTGGTCAGAGTATGGAGGCAATTACAGAAACGTTATCTGATGGACAGAAGCACTTCAACAAAATGTTTGATTAATGTTTGAATTACATACACCTATATTTGCATTATTTTTTATAGTTATTACTCCTTTAGTTGTGTTTTTTGAAGGGTTTCTGTACGATGTCCGGACCCTAATCTATTGGTAAGTAAGTGGACCTCTTGCCAATTGGCAAGAGGACCAAGCATTATACTGCTACCAAATGCGCTGTAGTACAATGCTTGGTCCAGCTGGTGGCACTAATACTAACTTCAGCGACGAACTCGTTGTCTTAGTTAAGTTTCCATTTCTCTTCCTGTTTACATTCTGCTACTGTAACGCTAATAGCTCAAGCACGGATCGCGTTGTTTAGGGAAAGAAACACATTTTCACATTGCTCTGATGCAAAGTGCAGCAGTTCAGTGGGTAACGTGTGTGTGCGCCGCGGACACGGGGGTGAGCCTCTTTAGTAACGAGCGTAAGAGCGCTGAGAAACTAATGAATGAGAATGACAGAATGAAAAGTGTGGCATTCGAGCAGAGCCACCGGAGCCCGGCAGGATACAAGTGTGTTCAGGCGATTAAATATAGTCTGATTCTTGAATGTCTAAAGTGTTATTGCAATAGCACCACATTGTGACAGCGAGGGTCTGAAGGACAGAAGGGAGCTATTCCCGTAGGAAACGCATCCCTTCGGCCCTGGAGCGACACACTCCCCAGCGCCCCTCGACCACGGTCCCAGGGCTTATATGAAAGGTTTAACACAAGCAGAGAATACAAAAGTGCAGGGAGAGACGTGTGTGAAAATGCGCGTCACAACGGAGGACGTAATGTGACGCACAATATCAAGTCCCCATTCCCCACCACCCGCCATACTGACCCCCCTCATCTGGGCTTTAGAAGCGTGCCCTGGCCCACCTCTCTCAACCATGCTCAGGCCCACTTGCAGCAACCGTGCCCAAGCCCAGTTGCCGCGATCACATAGCAACTAAAGCCCGGATCTAATCGCGAAGTGGGCTTAGGCCCACTTTAACCGGACTTTAGGCTGTGACCGCAGCCTAAGACACATAGGTCTGGCTTTTGTTTCAAAAGATATACTTAAAGTGTAATTTTTACAGATGCTCCATATGAAAAAACATGTTAACTAACAACAACTTATAAACAACTTATAAAATGTCCATGAGAGAGGAGTCCTCTTGGTGTCAATGCGCCATCTTGAACAACAGTGGTGTATAAGGGACAAAAACAATGCGAGAATCGCATTTTCATTTCACATGAGCTACGGGCAGCACAGAGCGGGACAGGGGTAGACTGAACAAGCTGGTCAGGAGGACCAGCTCCACTCTGGGCTTACCCCTGGACTCTTTGGAGGAGGTGAGGGACAGGAGGGTGCTAGTCAAAGTAATTTAAGTCACTTGCACTAGGACTGAAAAAAAAAAACCCTGCACTACTATTGCCACTGTTTCTTAATTCCCACTTCTATTGTACATAATATATTCTGCATTTAACATGTTTGCACACTGCCGGTGCAGCCCTGCGTGACCTGTCTTATGGGCTGCACCCCCTCCTCACCTGGGAGCTGCTTCAGTCCTGCATCGTACCTATCCTCACTCTACAACCTGAGTCCTGCGCCGCCTTGGTCCTCGTTCTGTAGCTTGAGTCCTGGATCTATAGCCCATCAGTCCATGTGCAATAGATCCTTCTCTCAATGAGGTTTCTCAGATCTTTCCCCACTGGGTTTTAGAGTTGTTCCTTGCAGATGCAAGAGGGTCTGTTGGACTGTTAAGAGCGTCTAACAAAAAGGACTGTGGTGATGATCCAGGACACTCAACATTCTATAATATATATCAACACTTGTACATTGGTAAACTCCCCCCTATGGACCAATACTTATGTGTGTTCTATTCTCTGCGTTTGAACTGTTCGATTCTCTGATCTGGCGAGAATTCAACAATTTTGCTAAGTCCTCTGATATAACTTTTGTTGTGATTTAGGGCTAAACAAGAATACATTGAATTGAATTGAAAACAGAATGCACACAACCACAAACAACTTCTTTTGTTTAACCTCTTTCAAATATGGCTTAATTTCAAATCTTACTACTTCACACACTTCCACTATAACAGCCTGTGTATGTGCCCTTTCATGGCTGCCCTTGACACTATTTCACACTCCCACATGACAAAGTCCACCCAGCTCAGAGCCCGCTTATCGGACCTTCGTCATTCGCAGGCCTCAGGTTCGCCCAGTGTGTTGCTTTGCCTGTTAGAATGCGATCCTCCATTGTCCTCCCTCTGCTGAGTAGAACTCACATTTAGACTCCACACCTGTTCATCACTATTCCTCTGTAATAGTTTAATCTGTCCGCAAAGTCCATTCACCACAGCAGCCTCGTCCTCTTGTGCCAGCTCAACAAACTGTACTGCGTCATATTCACAAGAGCAGACAGGCAGCTGTGGTTCTTGGAAAATTATAGAAATGTGTGTTATAAAAGATCAGTGAAAAAGTTACATTCTTAGTTGCATTAAAGGAGCTATACCTGTTTCTGCAAGGTTTTTTTCAGTTTGAATGTTTAGCACCGCCCCCTAACTCGCTACAGGCTTCTCATTTTCCCTACGCTCTCCTGCCACAAAGCCCTCTAGTTGTATTTGCGATCTGACACATATGCAAACAATAGCATTAGCGCAACTTCTTGTAAGCTGTAGAGCAATTACTGATGAAATGGTACAAAATCAGCGCACTGCTAACACAATATGTAACTGAAAGATTACTGCTAGTTTTGCGTCCAAATGTAGTCCGAGCATCGATGGTCCGAGGCTGTCCCGCACCTGCAGGTCTCTCCAGAGGATACGATGTGGGATAGCTATGTTCAATAGGTTTGATTTATTTTCCTTTTTTTCCCTTTAGTTCCCTCTTCTCTTCCTCACTGTTGCATCGTTTGGGCTGTTTTGTTGTGTCTGCAGTTACAGCAAGAGGAGGTATAGCCACTATCAGTTCCATGCTGCTCTTGTTTACCTGCACTGTAGACTAGAGGAGGCAGCCTGTTCGTAACAGCACCGCTCTTCGTTCTGTGAGTGGCAGAGAGCAGCGTCACGCTAAGTCTCTACTCAGCACTTTTTACGGCCTGAATTCATACACAAGCTGAATCAATGAGCTCAAGTTTTCAATAAAATTACGGAATATAATACAACTTGTATGTAGTAATATGCATTTTTATGAACTCATCAAAGAATTGGGTATGGCTTATTTAAGCAATCTGAAAATGCACTTTTTATTGAATCAAAAACAGTAAAATGACACAATATTGTAGACCTCAACAATGCAGCTGTGATGTCCATCCATTCATCCATTTTCTTCCTCTTTATCCATTGCCGGGCAGGGCTTGGGCAGCAGTCTAAGCAGAGATGACCAGACTTCCCTATCCACACACACCTCCTCCTGCTCATCGGGGGGTCTGGGGGGACCCCAAGGTGTTCCCAAGCCAGCTGAGAGACATGATCCTTCCAACTTGTCCTGGGCCTTCCGCGGGGTCTCCTCCCGGTGGGACATACCTGGAATTCCTCTCCAGGGAGGTGTCCAGGAGTTATCCAGAACAGATGCCTGAGCCACCTCAACTGGATGTGAGGAAGCAGCGGCTCTACTCCACACACTATCTCTAAGGCAGCGTCCAGCCAGTTTGAGGAAGCTCATTTCAACCACTTTTATCCGCAATCTAGTCCTTTCTGTCATTGCACAGAGCTCATGATCATAGGTGAGGTTGGGAACGAAGATTGACCGGTAAACCGAGAGCTGTTCCTTTCCACTCAGCTCCCTCTTTACCACAACGGTACAATGTAGTGACTGCACGTGCTGAATCGATCCGCCTGTCAATCTTGCGCTATATCATTCCCTCATTTGTGAACAAGACCCTAAGATACTTGGACTCCGCCATTTGATGAAGGACCTCTCCACCCACCTTTTTCCGGTCGAACACCATGGCCTCAAATTTTGAGGTGCTGATTCTCATCTCAGCTGCTTCACAATTGGCTGCAAACTGTCCCAGTGCATGTTGCAGGTCCTAGTTCATTGGAGCCAACTGGACAGCATTGTCGGCCTATCTTGATGAAATGTGGAGTCTCATGATCCATCATGGCTAGATAGGACTCCTTCAGCCAACTGTCCCTGTCCATTATGTGATTTTATCTTTTGTAGTGGTCAGATATTGCTGATTTTAGATTTTCCTGTGCCTATGTCAAACATAGATTTTAGCCTGGGACTCCAAATCTAAAGCCAGTGTTATTTGAGTGTAGTGTTTTTAGTGTGACCTTGTTTTTAGTAGTTCTATATACTGACTTTGGCTTGAGCCTGGGACAGTCCTGATTGATAGCCCTCCCCCTCATGATTGATTGGTCGGACTGGAGGACTTTCCCCTTTTTAAAACCCGGACAGAGGGACTGAGAAGAGGAAGGAAATCGGAAGCGTTACGGGGGACGAGGACAGAGGACAAGGGGAAACAAGGACCAGCACGCACCAGGACCGGCACGCACGCGGAGCAGCACGCACGAGGAGCAGCACGCCCCAAGGAGAGACCTGCAGAGCCCACATACAACGCCCCGTAAAGCTGAGTATACAGGGACGTGATCAAGCAGCCTCAGTTGGTGTGTGTGCGTGCGCGTGAGACCGGAGCGTGATTGCCCACTCTCTCCGCAGCTGCATTGGCGTGGCGCATCAGGCCCCAGCCCAAGGAGCAGCGGACCCGGAGCAGCGGACCCGGCCCAGCGGAGCAGCGGACCCGGCCCAGCGGATCCAGCTCAGGGGAGCACTGTATATAACGCCAGACGAGCTGAGTACTTACAGGAACGTGAACAAGCTGCCCCAGACTCTGTGTGTGTGTGCGTGCGCGTGAGACCGGCGCCTGATTGCTTGCTCTCTCAGCAGCTACCCTGGTGTGGCGCACCAAGCCCCAGTGGAGCAGCAGACCCGGCCCAGCAGAGAGCGGCCCCAGCAGAGCGGAGCAGTGCGCCAGGCCCAGCCCGAGCCCCAGCAGAGCGGAGCAGCGCGCGCCAGGCCCAGCCCGAGCCCCAGCAGAGCGGAGCAGCGCGCGCCAGGCCCAGCCCGAGCCCCAGCAGAGAGCGGCCCCAGCAGAGAGCGGCCCCAGCAGAGAGCGGCCCCAGCAGAGAGCGGCCCCAGCAGAGAGCGGCCCCAGCAGAGAGCGGCCCCAGCAGAGAGCTCCTCCTTAACCTTTTATTTTGACCAGACCTTAAGACCCTTAGTCTTATTTTAACTCTTAATTGGCCATTTTAATTAGCGCCATAGGGCATTTTATAATCATATTTATTAATAAAAGTATCTGAAGTCTAAGCCTGTTTATATTCATTTCTAAACAGTTATTGGTTGTTCCACACCTGACACAATTTGGCGTTGCTTGGAAGGACAACCAAAAAAAAACTGTTTGAGAATGAATTCTGGCCAGCAAGGTACGGGCCCGGCCATTACAGCCCAATTTACGATGCCATGGTTTATGGGGGCCGCCTTTATCCCAAAGTTTGACGGCGAGACCAACAAATTCGAACCATGGAAAGCTCAAATAGAAGCTATGCTGAGAGCACAAGGACTGGGCATACAACAAGCAGCAGATTTCATTCTGTCAGCCCTTGAAGGAGATGCCAAGAGAGAGCTGCTTCTCATCAGTCACAGAGAGAAGAATTCCAGCCAAAAGGTATTTGATCTATTATAATCGCTTTATGCAAAACCAGTAAGCAAAGCTCAATTGCGAAGCCATTTTTTTAACTGTAAACAAAGAAATGATGAAGGTGTAGACGCTTACATCTTACGCCTCCGTGAGCAGTTTAAGAAATGGCAAGAACAGGATGGGGCGGAGGCTGCAGACGAGGACGATTTGCTGCTTGACCAATTAATGGTAGGTTTAAAAAAGGGCCTCATTAAACAAGAACTGAGCAGGCAAATGCGCCGAGAGGGACATATGACTTTTAAAAATGCTTGTAAAGAGGTTAGGGCACTGGAATCTGAGTACGATGAAGAAGATGCTTTACAGTCTAATAGGGTAACTTACGCTCCACAACAAAGAGTAAATTTTGACCATGAACATTTAAAGACTCTGATAAAGGCTGAGCTGAAGGAAGAACTTTTTAAGGACATTAAAATCGAGATGGAAGAACAACTTAAAACTCTCTCTTCTGGCCTTATATCAGAAATTAAGGCACAATTTTCCAACCACCAACAGTCTGCTGGGACTCCAACTGGCCAAAGAGCAAGACCCCAAAGCCGGTCTGTAGGCACACCCTTTAAGTGGGACCCAGAGGGTAGGCCCATTTGTGTGAACTGTGGGGGGGCTGGACACACTCAGCGGTGGTGTCCCCAGAGGCTTCAGAGGTCTCAGGATTTTTGACTCTCCCTGCTGCTGAGGGCCAAGCAGTGGGGGCAGTTCAGTTGGGGGCAGAACCTGAAGCCAGTGCTCCACCGGCCTCAAAGTCTGCCCTAATTGGTGAGTGCCCTGATGTTTTGATTAAGATTAATAACCAGACTATCCCTTTTGTTCTAGACACGGGATCCCAGGTCACCTTGGTCAGCCAGACAATGTTCGAAAAATACCTTAAAGGCACAGGTGTGAGTAGTGCAGACACTGTGCCATGGCTGACTCTCCAGGCCGCAAACGGGTTAGAAATCCCATACATTGGCTATGCCATTGTGGACTGTGTGATAGGAAGTATGGTGGTACCAGGGAAAGGCATAGTAATTGTGAAGGATTATTGTCTAGGCCCAAATAAGGGGATATTGGGAATGAACATAATCAGGTCAGTCTGGTCCACTCTCACACAGGGCAGCCACCCGGGTCTCCTGGCATTCCAGACCACCATGCCAACAACGGAGGGGAGAGTCTGGTCCAGAGCCTTTGTTGACTGCCAGCGGGTCACAGCCAAATGCCGAGCCCCACGCTACGAAGGAGTCGCTAAGCTGCCACACCAGTCCCCAGTCGTCATTCCACCACAATCTGAAATCGTGTTGTGGATGCAGGTAACAAACAGCCCCCCTAATTCGTCTTGTGATGTTCTTCTAGAACCCGTATCGGACGGCGAGTGTGAGTGGCAAGTTGGAAGGACCTTAGCGACCGTGACTGGGGGAAGCGTTCCGTGCCGGGTCTGTAACCCTAATCCATACCCGGTGGAAGTACCCCAGCGGCGGCCCCTTGCCAGAGTCACTGAAATAGATGGCGCTGACGTACAGGGACAGAATGAGCTGGTGCTTAACCCGGTGGCCCCTGACGTAGTGGAAGTAGCTGTGAGGCATGTGGGAACGGCGGTCACACAAGATGAGGCCCCCCACCCAGTCCTGACACTTCAGGGTGAAGGCCTTACGCCTGAACAGCAAGACAAAATGACACAAATGCTAAATGCATGGAGACATGTATTCTCCTCTCATGAGGAGGATTTTGGACGGACGGGGGTGATAAAACATCAAATCCCCACCGGTTCTGCTGCCCCCAGCCGTGAACGGTACCGCCCAGTTCCACCTAGCCTGTACAAGGAACTTCAGACCCTCCTTAAGAATATGCTGGACAGCAGAGTGGTAAAAGAGAGCTCCAGCCCATGGGCAGCCCCAATTGTATTGGTGCGCAAAAAGGATGACAGCTGGAGGTTCTGCGTCGACTATAGGAGGCTCAACGCCCTCACCCACAAAGACGCATATCCCCTGCCTCGCATTGAAGAGTCGCTCACCGGGCTAAAAGCAGCCAGGTGGTACTCTACACTGGATTTGGCAAGTGGATACTGGCAGGTGGAGGTGGATGCTGCAGATCAGGAGAAGACTGCATTCACGACCCCGTTTGGACTGTACGAGTTCGAGCGGATGCCGTTTGGACTATGCAATGCCCCTGCCACCTTTCAGCGGCTCATGCAGCGGTGCCTGGGTAACCTTGTTAATGACTTTCTCCTAATCTACCTTGATGATGTCGTGGTGTTTTCCCCAGATTTTCAGAGCCACATGCAGCACCTGGAGGACGTTTTCCAAAGGTTGAACCAACATGGCCTCAAACTACAACCCAAGAAGTTCCACCTGTTCAGACGACACGTAACCTATTTGGGCCACGTTATCAGTGAGAACGGGGTGGCTACTGACCCAGCCAAGACTGACACTGTTCGAGACTGGCGCATACCACAAACAGTAAGGCAAGTAAAGTCATTTCTGGGCTTTGCAGGATACTACCGCAGGTTTATCCCGGGCTTTTCAAAGATTGCTAGGCCTCTCCATGCCCTGACCCGTAACACTGCATTAGAGAGGAAATCCACACAGGTGGTGTGGACTAATGAATGCCAAGAAGCTTTCGATTCCCTTAAACTTGCCCTGCTGGACGCTCCCATTTTGGCATACGCAGACTTTACTCAGCCATTTAGGTTGTATACCGATGCAAGTTTTGATGGGCTCGGGGCAGTGCTAGCCCAAATCCAGGATGGGAAGGAAAGGGTAGTTGCTTATGCCAGCAGAAGTCTCCAAGCCTCTGAACGAAATGACCAAAACTATAGTTCTTTTAAATTGGAACTGCTGGCCTTGAAGTGGGCGGTAACTGAAAAGTTCAAGGATTATCTGTACGGGTCAGAGTTCACAATCTTCACTGACAATAACCCCCTGGTGCATCTCGAGACTGCGCGCCTAGGGGCCACTGAACAGAGATGGGTGGCCCAGTTGGCCAACTTCAGGTATACAATCAAATACCGCCCAGGCACAGAGAATAAAAATGCTGATGCACTTTCCAGGCTCCATGAAAAGAGGCCAGAGGAAGCACTTGTACAAGCTGTGGGTGCTGTGGTCTCCAATGAGGGAACCTGGGAGGAGTACCAGAGCGAAGATTCAGATCTTGCCCAGCTTCTGCAGTGGAAAACACTCGGACCCCTTAAGCCTGAGGAAAGGCAGCGACCGGCAGCACCCCAACTATCAATTGGACACCAAGCTGATGAGTTGCCCCCCCCCACACTTTGGCTCCCAAGGCTGGCGCAACCAGAGCTCCCCCGCAACGAAGCACCCCAGCCAGTAAGCCCACCTGACCCAAGAAATGGCCCAGTTCCCCCTGTGAGACGTTCCCACCGGTCAAATATTGGCAGGCCCCCTGTTCGGTATCAAAGGTAATTGGCCGGGACGACCAACTATAGAGGTGGGGGGTAAATATCAAACATAGATTTTAGCCTGGGACTCCAAATCTAAAGCCAGTGTTATTTGAGTGTAGTGTTTTTAGTGTGACCTTGTTTTTAGTAGTTCTATATACTGACTTTGGCTTGAGCCTGGGACAGTCCTGATTGATAGCCCTCCCCTCATGATTGATTGGTCGGACTGGAGGACTTTCCCCTTTTTAAAACCCGGACAGAGGGACTGAGAGGAGGAAGGAAATCGGAAGCGTTACGGGGGACGAGGACAGAGGACAAGGGGAAACAAGGACCAGCACGCACCAGGACCGGCACGCACGCGGAGCAGCACGCACGAGGAGCAGCACGCCCCAAGGAGAGACCTGCAGAGCCCACATACAACGCCCCGTAAAGCTGAGTATACAGGGACGTGATCAAGCAGCCTCAGTTGGTGTGTGTGCGTGCGCGTGAGACCGGAGCGTGATTGCCCACTCTCTCCGCAGCTGCATTGGCGTGGCGCATCAGGCCCCAGCCCAAGGAGCAGCGGACCCGGCCCAGCGGAGCAGCGGACCCGGCCCAGCGGATCCAGCTCAGGGGAGCACTGTATATAACGCCAGACGAGCTGAGTACTTACAGGGACGTGAACAAGCTGCCCCAGACTCTGTGTGTGTGTGCGTGCGCGTGAGACCGGCGCCTGATTGCTTGCTCTCTCAGCAGCTACCCTGGTGTGGCGCACCAAGCCCCAGTGGAGCAGCAGACCCGGCCCAGCAGAGAGCGGCCCCAGCAGAGCGGAGCAGTGCGCCAGGCCCAGCCCGAGCCCCAGCAGAGCGGAGCAGCGCGCGCCAGGCCCAGCCCAAGCCCCAGCAGAGCGGAGCAGCGCGCGCCAGGCCCAGCCCAAGCCCCAGCAGAGAGCGGCCCCAGCAGAGAGCGGCCCCAGCAGAGAGCTCCTCCTTAACCTTTTATTTTGACCAGACCTTAAGACCCTTAGTCTTATTTTAACTCTTAATTGGCCATTTTAATTAGCGCCATAGGGCATTTTATAATCATATTTATTAATAAAAGTATCTGAAGTCTAAGCCTGTTTATATTCATTTTTAAACAGTTAT